ACTAACTGCCTGGCCCCTGGTGGACAGAAATGGTGACCCCCAGATCACCCTAGATAGAACTTGTTCTGAAGAGAAGACTCAGCAATTTGGCTCATGTTGGAGGGAGGAGAAGAGACCCCAGCTTGGTGGATGTGGACACATGTGACACTGGGAGTGGGTGGCATGGTGGGGGGCAAATAATCTCTTTTGTAAATCTAGATACAAGATCAGACCTCAACTGGTAAGCTCCTGGGTTTAGATGGCTGAACTGTTCCACTGAGGAAGACCATCAGGCGAGGGACTTCAGGAACTCTATGAGTAGCCTGAAAGATCAGCCCCCTCCATGCAATGGGGAAGCTCGGCTCCCTTTGGGACTCAACTTCACAATGTGTTAGAGAGCCCACGTGCCCCTGCTGCAGTCTCCTAAGCACCTGGCCTCTGTGCTCAGACTGCTTGACACTGGGCCTATAATGCTGAGACTGGGATTTCTCTTGGTTGCCCAGCCTGGTCTTGAATGTGTGGGCTCAAGTGATCCTCCTGCCTTAATCTCCCAAAGAGTTAGGACTGCAGGTGTACTCCATCACAGCCAGCTTGAATCTGGCATATTTACTCCTTTTATGCAAAACTTTTATGTTTCTGGTCCCTTTCTATAAAATGAAACACAAGGTGGGAAGTGCCCTCTGTTTGGTCAAACCCCACAGCCCCTCATTTCTACAGTGCACTGTGAGAACAGTGTCTTGGGTACCTGCTCACCCTTGAGAGTGTTCCTACTTGAACTCATAGGTGAGCAAACTAATGCAAGGATAAGGTCAAGGCCAAGTCATTGTACATGATCTAAGCTATGCAATGGCTCCTAGGCATCAACACAATACTCGTATTTAGCTGTCTACAGGGCCCAGAATCCAGCTAGGGATTGGTGAGGCTAGACACTAGCCCAGAGCCCAAAAGCAGAAACACACCCACCCAAAACAAAATTCTCTGCACAGGCACTATCCAACCATGAAGTCATGGGGTGATGGCCTTCTAAGTTTTAAAGAGAAAATACCTTATGGACCAGTAAAAGTTGAGGTGGTAGCCAGAGAGGTGACAGGAAGTGCTTAGAGTGCAGGTATACTTTAAATCAATAATATCAGTTCTACTGATGGATTGGATGAGTGGTATGAGAGGAATAAGGGAATCAAAGGAAATTACAGGTCATTGCTTGAGAAAATGGAGCACTGCTGAGTTGGAGAAGATAGAAAAGAGCAGGCTGGCGAGAAGAGTAGAGACTGGCATATATTAAGCTGAAAGATGTTCAGCCATTCACCTTTCCTGATATTTCTCTGAGAGGGCACCATGTTTGCATAACTACTTCCGTACTGTCCTCCTCTCAAGTCTCCCACTTGGGCCCTATTTCCTGGGGAGCCACGCTGGCTATCCAAGCAGAGGTAACCACTTTCTGCTCCCACCTTTCCCTGAGCTTTTTCACAGTTTTGAGTGAGGAGGAGCCCAGGTTCCTAATCATTCAGTTCACTCAGTATCCAGCTCAGTCCTGAGACTAAGTATGGAGGAGGGGTGGGAAGGATGAACACACTTTGTGCTCAGATGAATGCAGAAAACCTCATAGATGCCTAAGTCTTGAAGTTCAGCGTTCCCCAACTTGAGCCTATTCTCTTCTCACAGGGGCACCTCAATTCCCAGGCCCTCACTGGAATCGCTACTCCTGAGGTGTCTGTAGTCAGGTGTATGGTGTCTCTCTTTTATCTCATCATAACCTGCCTGGGGCCATCATTCTATCACTCAGGTGGCTACTGTGTGTCCTTGTCTTCTGGACACTGTGTTGACCTGAGTTCTTCACCCCCCTCCCACTTGTCTATCTTCCACAGCCTGGTCTGCTAAAAGCTCCTCAGAGACCTGTTTCTCCTTCCTGCAGAGAATTCAAGGCTTTTCACCATGGCTATGGGGTTTGCACCAGGCTGCCCATCCACCCAACCCGTCTCTCCAGTTTCTTCCCCCTCCTGCTCACTCTTTCATCCTTTCCAGGAATTCTTTCTTGCCTCGGTGCCTCTTGCCTGTTGCTTGCTCTATCTGTAACCCTTTCCCCCAACCCTCTTATCTTCTTAATTCATCCATCAAACCTTAGTTTAAAAGACCTTTCCTCCAGGAAACCCTAATCTTTCTCCATATCCCAAACAGACCCCTCCTGTATAGATGTGCCTTCCAACACTGTCCTTCTCATGCTGTATTTCATTGTTCATTTAATTGCTCTTGTCCTTCAACAGCCTGTGAGTTACCTGTGAGAGGGTGGCAGAAAGGGTAGGGAAGTCAAGCAAGCAGGCAGAAACCAAGTCTGTTTGTGCGTGGACTTTCCCCTAACGTTCAGCACGTATTTAGTCCTTATAAAATGATTAGCATTAATAAGCAAATAGATGAATTTGTATTTTTGTTACTACAAATGGTAGGTTATTTCATTCTTGGTGTTGTGAAGGTCAGGGATGGGGAGCAGCAATAGAACTGAAAGACTTTTATCTTTTATCCTTATATGGGGAGCTGATTCTCAGAAAACTCTGAAAAGAAGGCTGCCACGCCAGGCCTTTCCAGAAGTGCCTTTTTGTTGGCCTGTCTGTGTGTATAACCAACTTCCCCCATAGGTCACAAGTTTTTCCAAGACTCACAGGGACCCATCCTAAAGAGTAAAGGAAGTTCCCTGTGTATTGTTAAATGCCAGTATTTTCAGAGTATTTTTAGAGTTCCTAGGTTAAAGAACCCAAGGCTGAAACTGTGAATGGTGTCAGTGACCTTCAAAGGTGTTACTAGTCTGGGGTTCAGGACAGCTGCTCCCCTCAGTTAGGACAGAATAAAAAACAGTACTATTGGGTCAGGAAGACAGAAGTACAAGAGTGGAGGCTCCAAAGTCCCCAAGAAACTGAGTCAAGACCAGAGGTACCCAGCCCTGCTTGGAAGCCAGAAAGCAGATGGCTAAGCTGGTCGGAGAGATCCTTGATCAGTACGCATTCCTGTCTTTCCTTCTTCCCCTGCCCCCTTAATACTCTGGGCACTTCCTGCCTCTGGGGTTTTTGGGCTTGGCCATGTGACTTGTGCTGCTCAATGGAATTTAAGCAGACAAGATGAGCACAGAGGCTCTGTTTATGTGCCTTTCATTTCCAAAGAGAATGTGCTGCAGGGTCCCCACTGCTCCTTTAGCCTAGTACCTGAACATAAGCCTTGGATAGGTTTAGCTGGAGAGGGCTATCGGAGATCTGTGTCGAGATGCTTGTGCTTTGGGGTTCCAAGGGTGGTTTGACGTGGACATTGAAGTCATTGTAGACACATGACAGACAAAATCTTGAGACAGGTGAGTTCACCAATGTGTAGGCAGGGGTAACAAAGAACACCACTGACTGAGGCTTGGTTCCTCCAGTTTAGAACACAAAGCAATGAGAAGGGCTTAGCAAGGAACCACAAACAGAACAGCCAAAAAGATGGACAGACATAGTCCCTGGAAACCAGATGGGAAGAGGACCCAGAACCAGAAAAAGTGGTCAAATGTGCCCAAGACTGACCAGGCAGTGATATGAGGAGAACTGAACTTGAGGATTTAGTGGCAGAAAAGTCCTTGGCGTGCTTGAAAAGATGTTCTGTGGAGTCTCAGGGACAAAAACTCCCATAGAAGGGATTCCGGAGAAAACAAAAGGAGAGGTGTTTACCCGTGTAGAAAATTCTACCAAGTTTTGCTCAGAAACGAAGGAGAGAAATGAGGCCAGAGAGAGAAGTAACATCAAGGGATTTCAAAATAGATGGGATGAAGAACGAGTTGGATACTGCCAGGGATGGTGCAGCAGGGAGAAGAGAGTGATGGTGCAGACACAGTGGGAGAGTGATGAGAGTTGCTCGTGCACTACAGCAGCCCACGGCTTTGCTTGCTGGTAGGTGGGCAGACATGGAGGAGGAGCTGCAGACAGTTCTCCTGTTGCGTCAGTTTTCTTAATGAAACAGGAAGTTGGGTTATTAACACAGTGTGAGCAAGTGGGAGGTGATGAAGAAAGTGCTAGAGTTGTAGGGGAATTGAAAAATGAATGGGCTCAAGGTATGTTGTTTAATCGTAAGCAAGCAGCGATTGTTAGCACTTTTACCTATTGTTTAATAAAGCCCCACAACAACCCTATAAAGTAGGTTCTATTATCTGCTTCATTCACAGAAGAGGAAACTGAGATACAAGAAATTTGTCCAAGGCCATACAGCAAGAAAATGTTTAGTTGGATGAGGTGAAACATATAAAGGCTTATCACAGAGCTGAGCTACACAGAATGAAAGTTGAATTAAGGTGCAGGTATAACTACTGTGTCAAGCTGTATACTAAATACCTTGCTAGCGACTCCTTTCAGCCTTGGTTCTTATCGACCCCACTTTTCTGAGGAAGACATTGAAGTCCAGAATGTTTCAGTTGCTTGTTCAAAGTTGTAGAGCTATGAAATGGACAAGCTGAACTTGAAATTCATGTTATCTGATTCTAAAGCCCATGCCTTGTACCCAGCGCCAAAGAACCCTGACATCATTTGAGTGAGTCTCAAATGACTGAAACTGACTTATTAGCCGAATGTATCAGAACCTTTCCTACATCAGGTTGGGATTTCTTGGAAACTTTATCCAGAGCAGGTGGAGAACTGACTGTCCAATCCTTACAGGAAAGAAGTTTAATGCTGGACACCTGATCCTTTGGATGGGGAAAGGAGAACAGAGTCACAGCACAAAGTGAGTGAGAGTTTTGGAATTTTCTTTTCATTGCCTACCGCTTCATATCACAAGGCACCCATTCTAGTTTTACAAGTATTTAAAAAAACTCATTTTCTCAAGAAAGTGTGCTCATAATGTATCATCTGCACTGAACAGCCACCCACTTCCTCAAATGCAAGGAAGCAGACAGTTAAAAAAAAAGTCGAAAGGCAGCAGTTGTTTATCACAACTTTGCCTGAGTGAGGCCTGAGATTCTTTTGAACAGAAGCTCTGCTTCCCATGACGCAGAGCGAAGTGTCAACTGGGATAGATCTGGTAAAACTGAAAGTAAGAGAAGTGGAGTGCCATCCTCTGGGGCACTGTGAGTGTGGGGCAAGAAGAGTTTGGATGCCATCCCCAAGTGACAGATGGGTGGACTTTTCATCTGAAAGGAGGAGATACCTCAAGCCTAAGATTGCGTGTGAAGCAAGCAGAAGACAGAAAAGAGAGGCAGAAGCCAAAAGGGAAGATCGAAATTGCAAGGAACACACCGACAGTGACAGAAGGGCCGCTTCTTCAGCTGCTCACCCAAGGAAGAAGCAAAATGTCTCTAAAGCTGCCCAGGAACTGGGAGTTCAACCTGAAAGCAGAGGCCGCCAAAATAGGTACAGTCGGGGTCTGTGTCTTCTCCTGGCCCCTGTGGCTCTTATACTTGAGCAACCACCATTTGCATGTTGGTCTGCAGGGAACACAGATGTTTAAAAATGGATTTAACAGTAAATCTGAATTTGGGAGAAAAATTTGTACCCAAATCGATATGTTGACTCAAGTTTCTAACATGCTGGGAGGGGGTTCTTTTTTCATCAAGAGATTGCAGTGGAAAGGGGCTCTTTGCTTCATGAGATATTTTGGGTGGTGTTGAAGGCTTATCACACAGAAAACTGAGCTTTTTTCTGTCTTGTAGACTCTAGTCATTTTTTTCCTGGTTTAGAAACTCATCCATAGTTTGATTTGGTTTCCATAGGAGCACAATGATTGGAGTGTTTTGAAGTGTGAGTAAACTCAGCGGTGTCCAGGGGGTCAAGATGGGTCTAGAAGCAAAAAGTAGACAGAAATGTGGATAAGAGGGTGATGGGAGACAATGGAGACATAAAGACAATTTTTTAAAATAACAGAATGGGAGGGAACTCCTAAGAGTTTAAAAAGGAGAACTGTTTTCTTAGTTAATTTAAAGGATAATTCAGAGATAGTCTGGCCTCTTGTTCATACCCTTTCCTACTAATGACCGCAATTCATTAAATCAAATTTATGATTTCAGCGTTACTGTGATGTTCCTGGTGTAGATTTCTTCTGTTATTACACAGACTACCATAATTTAAAGTGGAGAAATTAGAGCAAAATTTATTTATATCATTCCTGATATTAGCTACAGTAAGTATTCAGGTGTTTGTAACCGTTTAGAAGCATTCTGTTTGGAGTGTGGTTAAAGTTTGGATTTCAAATTGTGGTTGGTGTACCACTAAAGTGAGAGGTCTACATAAAATGAAGAGCCACATATGGGAAGTGTTGATGATGTAGGTCTAAGAAATGCTTTTAAAGAAAGCAGAGTAATCACAGAAGCCATTTCTCTTGGTGTCCTATGAAGGCTGGCATTCTCTAATCAAGCTGGAGTCATCATATGCTGGGGTCAGTTCTGACAACTCTGAACCAACATTGTTTTTCCTCCCAATTTTTGATACAAATGTACTTGCTAGTACTCTTTTCATGTCAAAAATTTGTTTTTAAGGTAAACTCCTATCACCGCGTTCCTTTGCAAACATTCTTCTCTTTACAGAAGGTCACCCTGCTCTCTCACCATCTGTGCCTGAGCACGTATTGGAAACTTATTCTCCTTTAGTTTTAAAATGAGAAACTTGAGAAAATTAGTAGATGATTTCTTTCAGGTATTAGAGTCTCAAGATTGGGATCAGAATGGGTGGACTTCATATTTCTGCTAGTGTTTCTTGAAGCGCAGACCCTTGCATATCTGCCTCAGAATCACCTCAAGTGCAGGTCAACAACATAAATTCCTGGTGCTCCTTGACTTGTGAAATTAGTGACTGGGGGAAAGCCTGCATTGGAACAGGCTCCCACCCGGCCACGAGCTGCAGCTGCAGCTCTTGTGGTCTCAGTACACCAGCCTCAGAAGACTCATCCAACCAGCCTGGGGCCCGGTGCCCTGGCTGGCTGGCGACACAATCATTACGTGTTGACTGAATAAAGTTTGACTACCAGAAGGCAATATTACCCAGTATTGCTTAATAAAAATAGAATAATGGTGATATAATGGATTTTATAGAAAATTGGCCATTATCCATGCCAGCTACCAGTTCATTGCTCTGAGGAACTAGGATGTGGTTGAATGTGTTTCATGAATGTCGTGCAAATGAGAATCTAGGTCCTGAGCTGAGTCCTCTGCAGGAAGAGTTCCCAATACAGACACAGGACCACGGGTCCCTAGAATTACGTGTGTAGGGACTGGCTTAACAGTACATCAAAGACCTCTGCTTTTCCCAGCCTGGTAAAGAGCATAGCAAGGTTTCTCAACCTTCACACTAAAGGGGAGGCAATTTTTTGGAGGGTGGGGGCACTTTGTACTGTAGCATGGTTAGTGACATCCTTGTCTCCCTGACCTACTGGGTGATGGTAGCATCTCCCTACCACTACCCATTAGAACAACCCAAAACATCTCCAGACACTGCCCACTGCCTTTCGGGTAAATATCTTCCCCAGTGGAGATCTCCTGAGTAGATGATGCCAAACAGATGAAATTATAAGGTTGCTTGGAGTTGGAACCCACATATCACATTTGATTCCTTCTCCAGCTCAAATTTCAGGATGGTCTTATTAATATGTGACTTCAGCATCGACTAGTAGCTCAGAAGAATACCAAGATGGGCACTCGCTGGGGAGACAGCCAGACACTGACTTTCTGTGTGTCCGGGATGGGGCCCAGCTTTTTCTTGCTGAGCTGTGCTTTTACTTTCCTTGAAGCCAGAGGGCTGGAGCCCAGGCTGGAAGAAAATGAGTGCCTGTGCCTGGAAGAATGGACTCTGCACTGTCTTTCTATCTTGTAGATCTTCCTTCTTGATGGAAGATCTTGGTGTAGTGAAGATTGTATTTTCTGGGCAGCTCCCAGCCCATGATGGATAAACATGCCCATAGATCCAGCCAGAATCAAGGATAAGAACATGCCTTCTTCAGACGATAAACATTGATACAAATGGGGTGCTCCTTCTGAGGTCCACATCTTTTTCCTTGCAGAGGTTTCATCATTATTTCTTGTTTAAGTAAAAATGTGTACCCCTCTGTTATCACTGAGTTATCTTTAAGAATACATTAAATTCTTTCCACGAGGAACATGCCTCCTGCTGCCCAGGATGACAGTCTCAGGACTTTGGCAGCAGCAGTAGGGTGAGGAGTCACCTCATGGATGAAGGGAAAACATAAGCTGTGTTCTGTCCACTAACCACTCATTGAGCTGACACAGAATCAGTACTTTGCATTAGGTTGGGAAGCAAGTGCCATGGCAGAGGTAACCCCAGTAGCTTCTGCTGCCCATGTCTCTGAAAATGGATCTAATTCAAAGCCAGAAGTAGCTTACAGGGGTGGCGGTGATGCATCTACCTGCCTCACGCAGCACAGTTAATTCACAAAGCATCTTCACAGCGTATCCCGTGGGAAATCCCCATGGAGATTCCAGAATGAGTGAGGCATGCTCACCACAAGGGTGTTGGGAAAATTTCACTTGAGAAGAATAAATTGATGGTGATGAGCAGGGATGGGTCACACACAAGAGAACTTGAAAGAAAAGAACCTCACATGAGGTGGCGTGGTGGTGGCTGGTTGTACTTTCTGACTAGCTCAGAAGAACTGAAGTGATGAACTGGAGTGAAGCCCAGCTGTGACCACAGCAACAGAGACTAAAGGGGACCGAGGGAGAGGCACAGCATGGCACAGGCCATCTGGAGAGATTTCATTGCAGAAGATGGGGTGGGAATTTCACAGAATCTCTGAAACAAAGTGAGATATGAACATTACAAAGAAAGAAAATAACTTGCCTTTGGCTTTATTTTTTTTTTTTGAAAGTGTCATTATCACCATTTTTCTCTTTGAAAGTATTTTTAAAAACGAAAATTACTTTACAAGGAAAATGATGCCTATAGTTTTGGAAACCAAATATTAAGATCATCTTGCTCTTCATGTCCACAGAGGTCATGGGTAAGTGGAGCACAGACAGGGAAAGTTACAAGACAGTGAGAGAAGACTTGACATGAGAACAGGCCCAGGAGCCCCAGAGATGGGTGAGGAGTACTGGGCCCCCTCCTCACTCTCATTTCTTTCTTTGAAACACTGATGTGTGTGTGTTCTTCAGTGAGTCTCACACTGGCTATGGTTCCCACACTGATTTTCCTGTGCATCGTCCACTTCATGGGAGAAGCAAAAACCTATATTTTGTGTACCTCCACCTCATGAAGGGATTAAACTGAAAAGCCCTTTGATCTGACTCTCGTCATTTACACACTCATTTCTTGCCACCCTCTCCACAAGCACTGCAGCAGTCCTCTGCTCACACCAGGCTCCTTCACCACCACCCAGTTCCTCCTGGACATCAGTCTCAGTGTAGATGTCACATCTGCCGAGAGTCCCTAAGGCTGCTCGTCAATAGCAAGTACGATGATACTTTCTCCACACATTTAAGCAGGGAAGTTCACAGTTATGAACACTAGGGTTTTCTTTAAAAGTGAGAACCCTGGATGGTTCTAAATTTTCATGATCTCAGTCAACACTCCCACCTAATTTACCTTGTTTTACAGAGGGGGGATTAATGGGGATCAAACTCAGGATTTTGCGCAGCTCAGACTCATAGTGATCCTCCTGTCTTAGCCTCTCCAGAGCTGGGATTACAGGTGTGTACCATGCTGGGTTTCAGTGGCAGGCCAGGCATAGGGCTGGCATGGCATACGGTATTGGGAACCGAACCTAGAGTCCTTGTGCTTGCTAGACAGGTGCTTAGACCACTGAGCTATCTCTTCTGCCCCAAAGGATTTGTTCTTAACAAAATATGTAACACCAACAATCTAGACGCTCATGGTAAAGAATGTCATGGAATTTTCTGGAAAAAAAGTGATGTCAACAGAAGATTGTCTAAGAGCTGAATCATCTTTGACAATTCTTAATAGAAGTGGAGACAGCAGGTGATATAGAAAAGCATGTATAAACTTGGCCTGACCGCTAATCAAAGGTTAACCTGGGGGAGATAGGAGGAGGAAGAGGAGTCATAACACATATGTTGAAACAAACAATACTTTGCATACATGACTTTGGTTAGGTGCTCTGCAAACACCTGTCTTTTTTTTGGACAGTGGATTGCACTCAGGACCTGGTGCTTATCAGGCAGGAGCTTAAGCTGCTGAGCTATCTCCCTGGTCTCCCTTTTTTTTTCTTTATAGACAGTTTTACTGCCAGCCTCAGACCAGACTGGTGGCCGTGCTTGTATTATGTTATTTTGGTTCCCTCACGAAACAGGCTCACTGAGTTATGCTTTAGTGTTACTCCCTCAGGGATTTATCTGTACTGTAAGTAATGATTTCATGAAATTTGTTCCCATGTGTTAGAAAAGTGA